ATTTTTATTAGGCGATGTCTATCCGGCCATTATTGCTTAATAAGTTGCTTGTATATGGAAGAAGCATCAATTTATTTCCTATTAAAGAAAATGAACTACTTGCACATATTTGGGTCGCGGAAGTTGATTCAAACAATTTCTAAATTTACATTTGAGTTGAATGAAATTAGTTTTTCAGATTATGTTAAGGTAGACAACACTGCCACTTCTTACCACGTCCTTCAATAGTATAGGAAAATTAAATCTCGGTGGTTAAAACTAATTTTCCCGTAATGAGATAACTCTGCTCAGCTTCCACACCAACTCTATTTGCACTTTGTAATTACGAAGCAACAATATCATCCACAGCATCGCAGAAAATTTACAGTTTCCCTTCTCCAATTACTGAATTTCCATTACTCGCCGTCTGTATTTTCAGTTACCGGCAATTTAATTAATCGCTTCAAATGCATCCCTCACGTAATCGCGATTGCACAGTATAGGTACCGGATGCATAATATATACGTATGGAACAGATTAATTGTCTCTTAATTGAAAATGGTTAATTTTTGGAAAGGAAACCTATTTTCGCACTATTGGCCAATTTTGGATTCCATTACATTTTAAATATTATCTTTTCGAATCTCCGGATGTAATTAAATATTCTGGTAGAATAGGATATTCAACTTCACTTTAGTGTGTATTCAAAACGGGAATCGCATCATCAAATTGATAGTATTTTCAATTTGAATCGCATACTATTTTTTATTGTTGGAAATTGTAATTGCACTAGGGCAGCACGAGTCTTTGTAACTCGAGTAGTGGAATGATTGCTTAGATATAGGTCCCAGAAACAATATTTTGGGATGAGATTTGATCAAAATCTTAATGTATTTACTAATGTACGTTCCTTTGTTTTCTGGTATCATCTAGCTAGCTGTATGTCATGATTTCTATTAAGAATAAAGTTTCCTATTCAAGATATGACGTAACGTGTACTGCGAGGTGTACTGTATTGATTGACCCAAATGTAGTAACTGCATAAGTACATACATGTCTTCTGCGGTTCTTTGATCACACCTAGCAGCGTAGTGTAACGAATATTCTTTACACTACTAACAATGCTAACAATTTGAAAGCGAAAAGTGAATAAATTCCAATCATATTATTGGAATTCTTTTCATTTAATTCTTCGCCTAAGCTGAAGAGTATACCAAGTGCAAAAATTCCTACTGCACATATTAATTTTTATGGAATCTATATTAAGTAATAATAGTTAATTTACCTAATTTATTACCGAAGTCAAATTATTAAGGCAGGTGATTTCTTTGTTCTCAAACATGATTCGATCTTTTTTACTTTTTGTTGACATACAACTCACGCTAGCTCTATTAAAATTCTTTTGCTACATTTACGAAATAACAAATTCTATGCCGACAAGGACAAAACCTTTCCGTTTTGCGAAAGATTTCCGCTAATTAAGAAGTAGATTTCTTTCAACTTGGCTACCGAATAGTACATTGTTTCTATAATTGGCAATCTTGATTTAATACCTTAATTAATGTCGTTGCGCATATTAATCTACCATATGTAAAGTATACTATGTATATTATAATTATATAGATTAATTAATTAATTACTTGTTTCCACTTCCCATACGTATTTCTTTTAATTCAGGGTGATTTTTACATTCCAACAATCGATAATTGAGTACTAAAAATAATCGGTTATATTGACTAGATTACAATAAATGATCAAATAATAGATTAATTTTATTAGTCGATGATAATCGAATATTAAGATAGTAATCGATCTCTGCCACAACACAACACAGTTTAGCTTTGTGTATACAGACATAAAAAGTACACATTCTTGAATTGGATTCGTATCCATGTACGCGTAAGTGCAAAATCTGTCACCATGATAGTAAACTTTACAGGAGAGTACAAAAACTAATTTTAATTAATGACATTTTATTCCATCGACTATTTTAATAATTCAAAATAGTACTTATGACCTTTCTTAGGTACTTATGTTTAATTGCGACAGGTTACAATTACAACATACTCGTATTCAGATTGATTGTGGTTTAGCACTATTTTCACAATTATAATTACTCTTTACAAATAAACATGTAAAGGCCGCCTGGCATACATTCAAAATCTCGTTGTAATGCCAGCAGAATCAAGGCCTTATAGAAATTCTTCGAAATATTGCCTTTTTTTTGTCCTCCAACATTTTCGAGATATTCACAATTAAGTTTTTACATAGCCAGTAGATGAGTCTCGTCTAAGCGATGTTTTCGTCCTTTGAGAGTACTCTCCTCCGACATTCCGTTCTGCAGATATTTTCACTGAAAGTTTTGGCATCACCAATAGATCTGTTTCGTCCAGACGTTCCGCTTACCCTTTATAAGTACCCTCTTATTCATTCACTTCCACTTTACCAATAGATATGTCTTGTCCAGACGATTCATTTTGTCTTTGAGTCTTTCCTCCGACTAACCGTTTTCGAGATATTCGTTCTTAATGTCCACACGTTCCAATCGTCCTTTATGAGTACGCTAGTCCAAGAATCTGTTCTTAAGATATTAGGAATTATATGTGATCACGATAAGGGGTCGATGAGATGGCTATGGTTAGTAGAAATTAATTCCTTTCGTTGAGATCTTTCATTAGAGTACCATGAAGGATGAAACCAGTGCCACCCCTCACCTCCCAACTCCCTTTTTGATAAGGAGTCAGAAAGAATGGCGGTAGTTGGTAGAAAACAATCGCTTTTGTTAAGACCTTAGATTAGAATATAGAATGCCTTGAAAGTTCAAATTTACACCAACTTGGAGGGCGCCAGTTGCGATGGAACGTTGAATTTTGTCATTTCGATTTTGTTGCACCTTGGAGATTACATCTAAAGCAGACGCCTCTGTCGACAACTTGAAATAAACGCAAAATGTTAAAAAAAAGACAAAACAGTTTCAGACTCAAGAAACTTTCAAATTGTTGATATAGTCGCCGCCGCAAAATGTAATTTATGATAGTTGTCCACGGTTGTCCATTACACTGTGTTCAAGATAAGAATGTCTACCATGGGGATCTCCGACACCATTGTTACATTATCTTTGGGCAAATGTAATAAAATTACCTTGAGATAAGCACACGATAAGCTCAGACAAAGTAGCGGTGGGTCGGGGTGAATATCGAGGTTCTTGTTCTGGTCTTGAAAAGCTAAAGAAATAAAATAGTTTACAGGGATAGAACATAAACAATAATTGACATCACAATCAAGAGTGATTTAATAAATAATCTCAAAATATTACTAATAAGACACTAATAATATAGATCTGCGGTGTCAATACTTAAATTTAAATTAAGTTTTAGTAAATAGGGAATCAACACGTAGTCAGAGAAAGTATGAAAGGCAGAAAACAACGTTACATGAATATCAAAAACAAGTAGTAATTACAATTCGATTGTATCGAAGACCAGTATGTAAGCAAACGTTATATCAAGGAGTCGCGGAGAATTAAAAAAAAATTACCTTTTTAACAGGTCGCAACGGTCTCGGTTAACTCGAGAAGGGCGCTTTCTGATAATCTGTATCAGACAACACAAACAAACAAATAAAAGAGGTAGTGAATAGCGCGGCACATGAAATATTGCGTAAGCAATTGTAACGTGTGACACTGAGACAAATCGGATACTAAACCGTAATTAAAACTCAATAATTCAACTTACGTTAACTAACTAAAAGCAAAATTTCGACTCGACCACGGATTATCCTTACAACATCGATGTATAAAAGCATAAAAGGGACGTTAACTTCAAGAAAACTGCTTTACAATGCACAAATAACTAAATTTCTATTCGATAGCAATACTATCTAACCAATTCAGAATGTAAATCAGGTAGTAAAAATTGTAGATATGGGCTTCGGACAAAGTCTCGGTAACTTCAAAAATTAATTTACAAAGCAGTGGTAGTTAATATCTCAAATAACGCAGCTAATCTGAAAGATACGAATGATACGATGTAATCAAACTAACAGAAATAAATTCTCGGAGTCACAAAGGTAATTGTAAGTAATGTTGATCCATTCGGGTAAGTAAGCCAAAAAAAAGTAAGAAGCCTAAAAATCATTATTCAAAGCAAAAGGTAATGCGCAATTTGTGCGTGCGTGCGCCGAAAGGAATTAAAGAAAATTCTGCACGACCTCCGTCGGCGAAATAAAGAACTTCGTTTTTATTTTTGCCTGATGTTATTTGAACAGGTACACAAAAATTAAAAAAAACGCCTTTTCATTTCCACTTTTTGAGCTCTCCGTGATAAAAAATCGATAATAGTTGAATCGCCTCAAGTGGCAAACATAAAGAACTATGTAAAAGAACTCTACTACAAGAATAATTTCTTTAAACTAGTGGATTACAAAGGAAATACCTAGATGGCGTAAGAATATTGAATATACACGAGAATAAAAATCAAACAGTTATTAAATGGAATTTAAATCGGAAATATCTTTGGTAAGAAAAGAACCTAACACCATAGAAGATATGACGATGGTCAAGTTAGAGAGAAGATGCGCAATTTAAGAGTTATTATCATGCTTTAAACCAGAAAATTCCGATTACTTCCGAAGATACGCCAGAAAAACGTTTCTGAGAAATCGGTGTGAAAATACATATCGGACAAATTTCTTGGAAAATGTAAAAGTTTCGCACGGTTGGGGCGTGGTGCGCGGGTCACCATTCTACTGAAACCAACAGTTTCCAACTTTTTTGTGCCGCATATCGCTGTATTCGTAATAAAAGATGCAGCACCTTAATACAGTACCTATGTACTTTTTTACGAGCCATAGAAAAAAAAGTTGATGAAGATTTCTCCGAAACGCATTTCAGACTATTAAATTCAAGAGGACGGTTACGACAAATGAATATCGACTTTTGTTTTGTTCTTTAGTTGATTAATTGATTTGTTTATTATTCATTTTCATAGTTATTCTTCATCATCAGGTTAATTCACGGTAGAGAAAATAAAACGCATTTATTAATCATCAAATAATTCAATGTAGTAAATTAAAAAAAGTTTTCACAATATTGAATGATTAGGTCTATCAGTTAAGTTTAACTTTAGGTTGCACTGCAACAAGTAATTTAAAACATAACTATAGGTAAATTTGGGTGCTTCATACAACCATTGCTCGTCTCGCACTTCCCAGTTGTCAGATCTTTTTGATGCAATGCTTTTTTTTAACATTGTTTTTTAACAGATGTTTTTGGTTTCCTAGGTATATGGGTACAAAGTTATGAGTTTCGTTCAAGCTGCGAAAAGACAACGGTGTTGCATCAAGTGACGATTGTACCGTACTCGACCGTGATCGGTAGGTGAAGAAAAGTCACGGTTACTGTCGATAGGGTACTTACATAACAGTGCTCAATTGCTTTGTTAATTCCAATCTAAAATTCTCGCAAATATAATTTGATAGTATTACAACCGCATGTTACGTCGTTTTCGCATGTTGGGCGTTGGCTACGAAATGCGAAAATTCGGTAAAAGTTGACATATTTTCATCTACAAAACGAAGGAAATAAATTATGATAAAAATGGAGATAATTGCGTCTATGCAAACTAGGCTCATTATTCAGAAGAGTGATTCGATTAAATAATTGTGTTTTATATATGGCGTTCTACGTTGTGATTTCCAATATCTCTTGATGGTTGGCATGGATTGCGAAATCTGTGAATTTTTTATTAAAATCTGAAAAGTATGCCCTAAAACAAATACCCAATGCTTAGAAATTACCTTGGTGAAATTTAATGGAACTTCATATGTCTTACTTACCCTTACTGGACACTGATGCAATGGATGGGTTTTTTTATGACGTACCTCATTCACAATTAGCATCATTTTGTGCTTTACGTTAATTCAATCGGGGCTCGTGTTAGTAGAAATTACTATGGAAACATTTGTCACCGTGGCAAAATTTAAATATTTAGACACTGTTGACCCTGAATTATTCTAAACTTCCAATTATGTCCTGATAAAAATGCATGTGGTAAATGTGTCGCATCAATGAATGCATTGCGACGCTCTTACATAGTTATGTTTGACTGTGGATGGGAACTATGTCGAATAGTTTCACATTGTTCATAAACTTCAAAATTTGAGTAGCTTTGAATATAAAATATTCAAAGGTGGTTGTATTTGTCGAAAGCAAGCGTACGTTTCTACACCTGATTATAGACAACCACAATATCATTAGTGAATTGTAGACGTTTATTCTTGCTTATAAAAAATCGGGTGATGGATGGGACCAAAACAAGTAAACCGAGGGTCGCAAATGTTTCGTTTGGAAGCTACCCTTAAAAATGTGAATTGTGAAATTGAATTTCTATTTTAATTTTTTAATATTGGGTGTGCCCTCTTTGATTTTTCAAAACCTACTCCAAGATGGCGCATCCCTAAACGAAGGTGAGAAAAAAAAATAGAAAAACGTAATTTGATATTTGGTGATCTATGAAAATGACAAATCTACAATCAGATTTTGAACACTCGAATAAAAATTCCAATATCGCGATAACTTTGACGTGTAGAAACGTCCGATCGCTTTGAAAATTGATATATGTACATGTTCTTCAGGATATAAGAAAGGTCGCTATTGTTTTTTAGCTACGTAGACCAACGGGCAAAAAGGTTACAGCCCAAACCTTCAAAAAGGGTTTGTTTTATAACCCTTGTTACAAAGAACGTATGAATGTCCGGTGTTCTGTATTAGTAAATATTCCTTAAACCTCAGGAAGATGAAAAAAAAAATTGCGCATTCGCATTCTAACTTTTGTATTTGCGCAATACCAATTTTTTTTTTAAGATATTTAAATGAAATTTTGTATGCACACACCTCGAATAAAAGTAAAATTAATGCCGAATCAAAAAATTTGTTTTACAAGCCATGCAGATCTGGTGGGACAGAAACAACCCCTTAAGGTGTATTGTAAAAATGATGTATGTGTGACTGCTGCTGCTGTGACTACTCCGGAAAATATCGAATCTGTTCATAATATTGTAACGTAAGTTTAATTACGTGACTTCTTTATGTAATATTCATTATTAATGAATTTATAGCAGTCTTAAAACTTATAACATGTAAATTTATCACATACAAGCGCGAACTTCACTAATAATCAGTTCGATAACGATGCTGGAACTACCATTAAACACGTTTCAATTTGCTTATTTCTAGAAAAAACCACGGAACGTTCTCGAAAAGTCTAGAATACGTATCATATTTCAGGGAAAGAATCCGTCGCGTTGTTGTTCCTCTACAGTTCCCCAATGAAGAAGAGGTGTGGGCATAGGGTATTTCAAACATCGTTCAAAGATAATCAATACTTGGATCAGGCGACTATGTAGAAAAAATAGGTGTAGTTTTAAGATGTGTATAATAACATTTTTGTATCTTCAGTGGTTTACTTATTAGTTCAAAACGGAGGTTACTTTCTAGATCACTCCTGCTTTTAATATGAACCGAAGCCAACAAACATTGTTCGTTCACGCACTGCTGCGAATGTCGCGTGGCTTCGGATTTAGTGTATGTAGTAACCATTATAACAGGAACCCGCTTTGTATGTATTTCAATTTTTTCAAAATTTTGTATATCAGTTAAATTATATGTGTCCCGTTGTGTACGTATCGTAGGCGCGGGTCAAGTTATGAACGATAAACATACACATCTAAAACGCTTGGGTCATTACCAAGATGGTTCCGTTCCGTTCCGTTAATCGAGACGAAAGTTGCAGTGCAAACAAAAGATGCTGATTTGCCATTAGTTTAAAGGGGACGCCAATCTCAAAAATTTCGTTGGTTCCATTTCGGCCTAATGTAAATAGCGAAGCGCACAGCGAGCCAGAGGAATGTATCATGTCTATGGAAGTGTACATCTCGTCCACGGGTTTTTAATAGTTAACAAGCAGAATTCGTTTAAACGTGAATAATTAGCGGTCGAGTCGCTTCCAAGAACCCTGACATGCTCTCAGGTAAAGTATTCATCACACAGGTTAAAAAATCGGTACTAAAGGACCAATGGGGAATTAAACATGTCAATTCGCACCAGGTGGCCATTTAACATGGTGTAACTGCTCTGTCACAATTAATATTTGCATTAGTGCTAATGCTTTTCGAAATAATGTTATTTTAAAATCGTTTTTGACATATAGTCCAGTCAAATTACGGTTTGGGCTGGATGTGGTCACTTCACTCAACGACACCAAGCGTATCCTATGTAAAGAAATCCGCTGATTCCGAAAATCATAGTCCCCCTGGCCGGAAACGACCGGACCATATTGTTATAAACAAAAAACGAAGAAAAAATGGGAAAATGTCGTGTTTTTTCACATTTGACTTCGAATATCTCGTTAACTATTGCTCTGAGGGAAAAAATGAATAGAAATGAACTTGTTTAGAATAAAATTTTCTATAAGATACAGTTGGTCCGGAACGCTCATTTTCAACTGTTATTGTTATTTATGGAAAAATGTAAAAAAGTAATATCGAAAATTAACACTTTGTTAGTACTAAGTAAAATTTATCCGATCTTTTTGAAAATCCGTATTTAGTAACTTCATTTGGTAACAAAACAATATGACAAACCAGATCACCGTAGGTTTCATACTCATTGATTAATTAAATAAACAAGTAGAAAAAGGAATGCTTTGTCTTTCAAACTGGAGGAGTACAAAAGCGTTCCCAATTTTTTTATACATAGTGGAACCGTAAAACAATCTTTTCCAATAATTGTCCCGATCATTTTTGCAAATCAACGGACTGAGGAATTTTTTTAGTTAACTAACAAATCGAATAGCTTCCGAGATTTAACAAGAAAAGTAACTCTATAATCGGCCCTTGGCACTCGGATTAATAAAAATCATTCATTTTGGTGAAATAGAAGCATGAAAAAAGTTCACGCTGTAAAGAATCCATCGGTGCGACCCGATTTGCAATAGTATTTTACATTATTAGTCAGGTAAGTGAGTTTTTACTGGCGACAGGAGAAGTTGACTGGCGAGCCGTTAGGCGAGCCTGTCATCTCCTAGAGCCAGTAAAAACTATTACCTGGCGTATAATGTACAATATTTTATTTGTTACTCATTTGTAAACAATAGTAAACGTAAATAATTAGTTCTTAAATTGATCTCGCAGAAATGTCTAAAATATCATGTTATTCTAGTAACAGAGACTTCGCACTAATTCTGGCCAATGAAATTACTAGATTACTAACTTGTAAAATTTTTACAGGTCAGCTGTCAGTTTTACAAGTCAGTAGCATTTAAACATGATGTTTACCCGTTTGCGTTTTGTCTTGTTAATCAACGTTTACAACTGAGTGACAAATAAAATCATTTTTGGTTGTTTCGAAAACTGGCTTCATAGTCAAAAGCTGATTTCTCGTCAACCATTAATCGGATTTGGGCGTATTTTTTTTAATGTACGGCTTTCCGAGAGCTTTACATTCGCCTATTATAGAGTTATATTTTTTTTGTTATATTTCGGGAGTTATTCCGTTTGTTAACTAAGAAAATTCTTCGGATTTTGAAAAAAAAATTGCATAGTCCGTCGATTTGCAGGAATCATCGGGACAATTATTGGAAAAGATTGATTTAGGGTTATAATATGTATAAAAAAATTGAGAACACTCTAGTAGGTACTCCCCCAGTTTGAAAGACGAAGCATCCCTTTTTCTACTTGTTTATCTAAATAATCAATGAGTATGAAACCTACGGTGATCTGGTTTGTCATATTGTTTTGTTATCAAAAGTAGTTACTAAACACGGATTTTCAAAAAGATCGAATGAATTTTACTTAACAATAACAAAGTGTTAATTTTAGACATTACTGTTTTTACATTTTTCCCTGAAAAACAATAACAGTTGAAAATGAGCGTTCCGGTCCAACTGTATCTTATAGAAAATTTTATTCTAAACAAGTTCATTTCTATTCATTTTTTCCCCCAGAGCAATAGTTAACGAGATATTGGCAGTCAAATGTGAAAAAACACGAAATTTTCCCGTTTTTTCTTCGTTTCTTGTTTATAACAATATGCCCGGGCGTTTCCGGCCGGGGGGGCTATGATTTTCCGATTCAGCGGATTTTTTTACAGGAATACGCTTGGTTTCGTTCAGTGAAATGACAATATCCAGTTTATACTACTTTTAGAGCTAATTTGACTGGACTAATATCATTTCCAAACAATTCGTAATATTTACTGGTTTATAATATCATTAACACTTTTATCAATAATCCCCACACCTCTATTAATCTATCTTTGATAGGACAGATGAATGCAATATAATAATTTAATTAGCAAATACATGTGTATGTGGAGTTACTGTTTAATTAAATATTTGTTTTGGGCTGATTGTTGTAATAATAATTATACATTTCAAGTGATAGTTACGGACTAAGTACTATGAATTTCAAATGACAAATGGCTACTAATCCTAGTTACAGTATTGTGAAAAACTACACATAATTTAACAATAAATTTACAATGGCACTAAGATAGAAATAATGTCACAATAGTTACTAATAAAGGTTTTTTTTTGCTTCTTGGGTATTTTCTAAGGCCAAAGCGGGTGCTGGTGTTATAGTGCTTCAAATGATATACTTTTGTTATAGTGATTTATTAACTTCGCTTCTTTACCGATTCTTTTGACTTTTGGTAAATTAAGACCGAAAAAAACCTTTATCATGAAACATACCTAAGATATGTAACACTTTTATAAGAATGTGACTTTTTCAGTAATTATACAACTATATATTTCAGGGGACGCTTGATTATTTTACAAAATGACAGTAAAAAAATGATATATACACTTTCCAACACTTCTTTACGTTGATGAGGGCGTTGAATTTCTACTTCGATTACTCATCATTAAATATATCTTCTAATAATTGCTTTGTAATTGTACGGTGTGGTCGTGATGGATCAAGTTTTGGTCTTCCATAAAGTCTTGCATTAATTACGTACAACCTAAAAAGTAAATAGTTTCATGATTCATGGAACCATCTTCGATCTTCCTGTAATTATGTTAATAGCTCTCGTGTTTAATAACAATGAAAGTATTTAAATGTCCTTGTTTATATCTAAATTGTGGTTTACCTCGTACTGAGATCGCATCTTACATTAAACCACCAATCGCAAGCAAACACCGCTTGATTAAATTGGGTACCATTCGGGCAAAGGAATGAGGTTTGTCTTCCATCAATGTCACAGTAATGCCATGTTTGACACCTAGTGTCAGGATCTGCGAAAAATCCAGGATAAGGCTGGTCATCGCAGTAGAAATTCGTGTATGGCACAACGCCCAGAACTGGATAATCCGTGCCAGGTCGACCTAAAAATCATTTCAGTTAAATATGGTGTAGGTTTGTAACATTATTTAAGCAAGTTCAATATTTGTGAGATTTTTTAGACATTGTAAGCAATTTTCATTATGCTGGGCGATAATTCTTCGTGTAAATTGTTACGTGAGAGTGCTTGTAGAGGCCCTGAAGGTCTTATTATTAAACAATTCCTAATATGTGCCTCCAATGTTTCTTAATTATTTCCACATAACTTTATTAAAGCATAGCGTGACGTGCGAATTCTTAAATATTTAATCCTGAGATTTACGAAATATCTGATTTGATCAAAATTGAGATATACCTTGAAATGAGATGAGAGAACGAAAATAGAAAAAGAGATCCCAATCTCAACAACTATTTCCAGGTGTATTATTAACAACCATTCTTTACCCTATCAAGTAAAATAATGAGGATTCCATAAGTTTATTTTAATTATTTTCTGCTTCAGGTGCAGCAGCAGACTTTTGAGCTACCGGAGAAAGTTAATGTTGTTATATTAGGTATACTTACACAAAAGATGTAACAGTTATATAACAAATGGAAAGTAGAGAGATTTAAGAAATTATAAACACCCAATTGTAATAATTGCGCTTATCCTTGTTTGATCATAACAAATGTCTATCTAGAGGTGCTCCCAAAAAATGTAAATAGAGCAGCAGGATGAAGTTGAGTGAATTTAGTGCAGGTACTTATGTTACGCACTAATAAAATCGAGATATTAGGTATTTAGACCTCTCTAACATAGTTTCATAAAAAATAACAGGAGGCAAAGTATCGAGATTTCGATTTTAATTATCTAATCATTTGCGTGCTTTTATGAATTCATAATAACACTAGTGCTTTTATGAAAGCCGTAATGCCATCCAATTGGCCATGCCAAATCTGTCATAATGACATCGTCCTAGATTAAAGTTGTGAATAGAATAAATATAACGATAAATAATAGACCGCTGGCGTTGGAAGATAGCGTGAATAATTTGGACCTTACCATGGACCCAGACTTGCGTTTCGATAATCATGTTTCAAAATGTTTGCGAAGCGGTTATGCAAGTCTAAAACTTATTTTTTCTATTTCGGTGTCACAATGATGATTTTGTACAACTGTTTTCGGCCAAAAACAGTTGTACAAAGACAGTGATTATGGTCGTTTTTTTTGGTAACTCATCTCTTAAGTTGGCAGTTACTAGTTAGTACAAGTAGGTACTTCGTTGGGTACTTCCATGTTTGAACTTCAAAATGTCAGTCTTACTACGCTGCCAACCTAAAACTTAACGGCATAAAAAGTTCCCAACATAAAACATGACAGTTCTAATGTTCCCTATAGTTTCTGATAATGATTTTTTTAAATTAAATTAAAGCACCGAAGATAGTCGTATTACAATAGGTCGCAGGGATAATATTTGGAATTAGAAGACGAGAACGTAGATAAATTGGTTGAGCTCGGGTGGTTGAATATGAAAAATCGTCGCCTCTTGCATGCCGCGGCCTTATTCCACAGTATCATAAAAATAAAACACCCTCTTACTTGTACGAGAAAATTAATTTTCGAACAGACGTGCACAATCTTAATTTGAGGTTCAAGGGATTGTTAACACCTCCGATTCATAAAACACAAGCTTTCAAGAAATCTTTCACCTATTACGCATTTGTATAATGAACTACCCGTGAACCTTAAATCGCTTTCCCTAAAAACATTCAAAACCACTATTCACAAAGATCTGCTCCGGGTACAAACAAATGCAGCTTAAGTAAGGGCTCCATTTCTAAATATTTATACCGGTAAGACTGGTACACCTAATTGGACGCAACTTATATGTATCTCTTTTTATCTTTATCTTTTCTCATACTCTATACTCATTTTTATAATGTAATTTTCTTCTTTTTTCGTGAATCAGAATCTTAGACCATATAGTACATGGACTACTAATTGTAACTAAAATATGGTCAAGGTCTCAAGGACATCGCCTGGGTATGTGAGTCGCAGGGTAAACGAATCTGTCCGAAGCTGTCCGATTAGAAACGATTTCACACTGTCAACCTATAAATTAACAAACGTCAATTAATTAATCGCCTAGATATGCCTTTAGTTTACCCTGAGATTCACATACCCACGACTACAGTTCCCTCTATCCGTGACCACCCATTTTGTATTGAAAGCATAGGGTTAATAGCAGTCCATGTAATGGTCTAAGATCGGAATTCAAAATAGCAAGGTTAAGTGGAAGAACAGATGGTATTATCTTATTGTCAATCTGAACTTCGCCTTGAACTAACTTTTTCTTTTGCTCATTTTCTTTCTTTTAATAAATAAAGGCAATATTATTATTATATTATACGGAGGTCGCTCCAAAATTTTCTGCACACTATGAAAAAAATGACTCAGAAAATTTAGAAAAACTATTTTATTGTTTTTATAAGTCGGGACTATAAGGTGGACGGTTCGGAAACTTTACCTTTTCTAAAAACACCATTGTTTTCATTTCTGGGCGCATTGCACGAGCTATTTCGAAAACCTGAACGTTATTAATGAGTTAATGACTCTTGTGTAACTAAAATCACTCGGCTACGCCTGGTGAATTGAATGTTACACGGGTTTCATTATGACGTTATAAACGAACTTGTATCATTAATAAATATACACCTATTTTGACGACTACCGAAAAGTACCATTTTCGATTTATCAGGGTTCAATAGGAATCTACATCTACATAATACTTATAATGGTGACGTTATCAGTAAGTTGTTTATTTATTTTTGACAATGCTGTAGGTGATTATGAATATGAATTTCAGATCTATATCAATCTCATTTGCATCAGCTAAAAAGGAAACCAAAACAACAAGGAAGCAAACTTCTGATAAATAAGTACAATATTAGCTGCAAGGCGCGTTTAGAAAGAGAAATAATTGAAAAATAAAATGAAAATTTGGAATATTAAACAGTTACATGTTGTGACCACGCATCTCACATTAGATCTGATCCGAAAAAACCCTATAACGCAATGGTGCATGCAAATTCTTTTTCTTTTGTGAATATTGGAATAGTTATTTGTACAATTTTTAGAAGAAAGTGTTTTTCAACTCTCGTCTAATTGACACACTTCTCAAGTTTTACATATAATTTTTCTGAAACTAAATCAAAATTGAAACATTTAATTACCGTATGCAATAATGAAGTGTGCACATAGCAATCTAGATGCGGGTATGTTTCAATTTTAAATGTCATAACATTAACGCAGCAATTGTTTTTACTTTTCTCACTAGAGATGAAAATCACATTTTGTTCACCCTTTTTAGAGACTAAAGTAGTTGTTTCTAAAGTGGTTTTAGAAAAGATAAAAATGCTTATATTTCTATGGGCGAAATATCTTTTTCAATTAGGTTGGTTCTCTTCCTACATACTTGCAATAATGTCAAAGATCTATTTACCTAAATCTATAAAACCATACTGTACCTGGAATTGATTTTCCGAGTTCTAAGTACTCTTGCACCGAGGGACTCAGGAAACCCAGTGGTACTCTGCTGCTACTCAATTCGTTATTTCTTTCATCCGTGTAATCATCGTCTAGGTCGTTTTCAGCCGGATGTCTTGGTGCCCTTGGCCTTTTTGTTCTTGTATTTTGCTCTGATCCATCTATGAACAAAAAGTGAATATAAATTAGAATGGTTTCTACTAATTAAATAGGTAATTCGGTTATAATTTATTATCTGTAACATTACTTAATTAAAGTGGAAAATAATGCACGTCCTCTTTCTAACTCTACATTCTGCGTAGGTAACTGTAACCTAACTGCATTTGTGGTTTGCATAACTTTTGCAATTATGCCCAAGTATGCAATCTCCCGTTTCCTATTTTAATTACTTAAGTGCATATCGGTTTCTAGCGAGTACAGTTGAGATACCTACACAAAATGCTTGGAAGTTTGGTCTCCTGCGGATTATGGAGACAAATGATACATTTTTACAGCAATAAATACTGTACCTATGTACAAACCGCTAGTAGACCTTCACCACGTAAAATGGTAGTCGGTCTCGTCTTGCCTTTCTATTTTATGTTCTTAAACGGTTAATATGGAAGACGATATCATTCAATGTCAAAGTCGTGACTAATACAGATCGGAGATTAATCACATCCCAGTTACATTATTTGCAACTGACAAGTACCGTCCCAATTAAACTTACTATATTGGAATTGAAAGTGAATTTGAACGTGTAGGTAATCAAAGGTCAATAGTAAAAAGACATGTCAAGTGCTTTCGTTCTCACCGGAAAGGCGCAATATTAACATATAATTATGCAAATAATGTATTGGGGCCTTAAGAATTATTTAACAATCACTTCCCGTTTCGGTGGGATATTTGCAATGTTTTGCATTATGTAGATTGTAGATTATTGCGATACATTTTAGCGGTGCGTGCTCTCCTACTTAACCCAGTTAGAACTAAATGAAAGATAATTTTAATTAATTCCCCAAGAAAATTAAAAACTACCCGTTTTAAGAAAATGAATGTCATTATTATAGATTAGAATTAAATGATTGAGAGATTTTGATGGTCTAACTAAGATAAGATTGGATAATGTTTGCTTACATAATGCTCTTTGTTTATTAACTCTGGAAGTTGTATACAGTACGTGACTGGAACGAAACTGCCAGGAAGAATAACATACACAATTTTGCAATAAGTTAATACCGAAACAGATTTTTCTAGATTTCATTTAGTATCACAGATCATTTGGTAGTGTCATTGAGTATTTAACTCAACGGTAGTATGCAGTTAAGATTTGTCTACATATTGAAGAAACGCATCTTTCTACCTAGTTTCATTGCTGAAATTGATGGTTATGTCTTCTTAAGGCAAGGTAGAGGTGCTAGAGGAGTAGGTGAAGGGATTTATATTAAATCACATTTTAACTTCAGAATTATTTCTATTGACTATTATGAAAGTTTTGAACAACTATGGGTATGTATCATGAATAAAAATAAGGTGATGTTTGTTTTAGGAGTTGTTTATAGGCCACCCCAAGGTAATGTACTTACATTTTTAAATGATTTTGAAGAAGTTTTTAGCGTAATTTGTCCTATGAGTGAAATTGCCTAGGGGATTTTAATATTGATTTATTTAAAAAGGATGATATTAACACGGTACAGTACTGCTCCATGTTAAGTGCGTTAGGCCTGCATCAAATTGTCAAAGACCCCACCAGAATCTCTAAATTATCTTGTACATTAATAGATCATATTCTTGTGACCGATCTTGATCGCAATTTCATCAAACACATTTCCTTCAGCGGGAAAGACAGCGAATATTATTCCAATTCCCAAGAGTAACAATCTGCTAAGCTACAAAGACCTTAGGCCCATTAGCATTCTTCCCACTTTGTCAAAAATCCTCGAAAAGGTAATGAAAGAACAGTTCGTAGAGTACTTGGAGAGGTTTAACTTACTACCATCGACGCAGTCGGGTTTTAGGAAGAGTTATAGCTGCGCTACAGCGCTTCTTAATATAACGGACGATATAATTCGAGCAACTGATGCAAATCAACTTACGGGGGTAGTGCTATTGGACTTCAGTAAGGCCTTTGATACGATTAGTCACAAACTTCTTTCATCCGTTCTGATTAATTCTTATTTGTCAGATAGACAACAACGCGTTGTTGTCAACAACAAAACCTCTAATGTGGAACGTATTTTGCGTGGCGTCCCTCAAGGGTCTATTCTGGGTCCCCTGCTGTATAGTATCTATTCCAGCAGCATTTGTAATGGATTACGTTATTGCAAATTCCACCAATATGCTGATGATACTCAGATTTATTGCTCTTTTACATTGAATTAAACTAATACAGCCGTAAATCAAATTAATGCAGACTTGAATACCTTATCTGAAACTGCATCAGTATTAATCCATCCAAATCAGTGGTAATGTTATTTGGTCGCCAGCTAGCAAGGACTCGTTCAAAATCCCACATTAAAATATTCTTCCCGAGATTCTTCCTCTTGTAGATGAAGTCAAAAATCTAGGGCTGTTACTAGACTCCGACTTAAGGTTTAAAGGACATATTAATTCCTGTATACGTAAAGCGTATTCCACGTTGAGGAAGTTGTATCCTAGCAGGAACTTGTTATCCATACAGACAAAAACTTATCTAACGGACTCTCTAATAGAGTCATTTTAATTACTGTGATGTGGTTTATGGGGCGTGCATTGATTCCTTAACGGCCAGTAGGGTGCAAAGAGTTCAAAACTCTTGCTTAAGGTTCGTTTATGGGATTAGGCGCATGCACCACATATCAGGCAAGTTTAGAGACTCCGGCTGGCTCAATATGAACCTTCGAAGACGCCTACATGTTGCAGTGCTGTACCATAAAGTCATCACTACCCAAATACCGCCATATTTAGCTGAACGGTTACGTTATCGAAGCAGTCTTCATAATTTAAACCTTAGACACAGAGGCCTATTAACAATTCCTGACCATAAAACATCGTATTTCAATAGATCATTCTCATACAATGTAGCTAAGGTTTATAATATTCCATTCCACCACTCCTCAAGCACTTATCTGTTATTCCATTTAAGTATCATCTTAAAGATTGGCTGCGAAAACAAATTTAACAAATTTGTAGTTATGTAATCATGCCACCTGATTAACTTTAATGAATTACTGTTTTTTTTTTCTTCTGAGACAATGAGAAATTTAGTTTTATATATCTGTTATTGTCCGGGCTGCATGGAAAAGAACAGAGCTTATAAGCACTGAATGCAGTCCTTTTTCCTTTTTTTTCGTGTTGTAATTGGATGTGTTATAAGAAAACGAGGAAATAAAGTTTATTATTATTATTATTATTATTATTATTATTATTATTATTGTTATGGTCGGTGTATCTTGTGAGAACTCAGTTCTAGCCTGGTTAACTAATCGCACGGATTAAAATCAAGTAACGATTAGTGTCTGTGTCTGGTGAAGTTATGTAGGGTCATTGGAAATCTAGAGATTATTATATTATTATTATTAAATCTCCTGATGATGAAAAAGTGTGCTGAAGACCTAAATTGTGGTAAAGTTTTTAGTAACTATCTTCTGGGACACAGTCTGTCGGTACCCCAAATATGAGTATAATTTACTTAGCAGGTACCGTCGTTGTAACCCAGACATTCCTTTTCTCTTTGTGACTTTTCGCGCGTATTTGTAACTTTGAATCTGAATTCCACGCAACGATTGCGACACAATCAAGGCCGTTATTTTAACGTCGTTGAACACATTAGATTAGATTCACAGGCAGAGTTGGACTGGGTCAAGCATAGAGTGACCCGGTGACCCAGTTGACCCGGTGACCCAGCTTGACCCAGTGACCCAGTTTGGCCCGGTGACCCAGCTTGACCCGGTGACCCAGCTTGACCCAGTGACCCATCTTGACCCAGCTTTACTCAGTGACCCGTCTTGACCCGGTGGCCCAGTAATTAAATTATTGTTAGGTATCATCCAAAACAATTTCAAGTAACTTTTAATTTAAAAAAAAACTTCCTCAATAATATTCGGCAACAAGCACGTAGCCCAATTTCATAAAATAGAACTAATACTTAAAAAAATCAAATGCATTTGTTGATAGTTTGTAGTCAAGTAGTCAATGAAAGTATTTACAGAGAAGATTTATTTGGATTAAGCTAACTAGAGAAAAAAATTAAATATGAATGAACACCTGTAAGCAAACTGGTAAGCCCTGAAGCAAAGAAATAAGATATTATTCTAATACAATTCGGGACATGGAAAGTTTTTTACGGCAGTATTAAAGCAAACATAACAGAAATGGCAGTTGTCAAGCAATCGAGTATTATTTTCAACAAACCAGCATTTCATTTATTTCATAATCTGTACACTTGAACCGAGGGCACTGACTTAACTGCGTTGTTCGATCAAACTAGGTTACTGGATCGAATTGGGTCGCTGGGTCTAACTGAAAAGAGTATGACGTGACCCAGCGACCCAGTTTAATTTAGTGACCCAGTTGACCCAGTGACCCAGTCCAACTCTGTTTACAGGTGGTTAAAAACTATCCAAAACGAATTGTTAGATGTAATGTCAATTTATTAACAGGAATATTAAAAGAAAATCAATCTGCATTCATTAGCAAATGATTGTTCATTATTCGATATATGTGTTTCATTGACAAATTTACGTCAAATCGAGCAAAAAATCTAAATTATCCCTGAGAGCAGCTTCAGACTGCATGGTAATTTTTATTTTCTTTTTTATATAATTTTAAATGGTTTTGTCAAAGTTCATGATTAAAACTTCTATATGACTATTTTCTTTCGTATTTTTCGAGATTTTTTTGGGTAGCCTTCTCCAAATATTTATTAGAACGTTCATCTTCTAATAATGCAGAAATGTTTTGAAAAAAAATTTGATGGCATTATGTTACAACCTTAAAATTTATAAACAACACAGCAAATTCGTCAAATCGTGCACCTCTATCGTGCTATTCTAAACATTGATAATATTGGGAATTTTTTTCCTTACATCCCTCATCTTAAAATAATCCCTAATAGGCGTGTTGTAATATTTGAAGTATTTTTTCTTTTAGAGAATTCGGTATGGCCCCTTTGAATATGAACCGATTTGAATTAAATATCGTGAATCAACACTTTTCCATTTAATAAATTTGATCTCACTTTTGAAGGTGTTTCATTACTTCCACCATACCTAATTAAGTGTTGAATTCGAAATTTAGCCAATTAATTCACTGGAAATTAAACATATTTCCTCTTCGATGTGTTTCTCTTCTTCAGACATTGTTTCATCGATAGGGGATAAAAAATATGCATTGATATTTTCCTATGCTTTTTTATAACGGATTTGGTAATCAACATTGGTGGGTCATGTTATATAACATAAAAATTTAGACAAAGTCGAGGCTGGAAGTTTTGAATTTTCATTGAAAATATGAGTCAATGGACGAGTGTCTAAATACAGAATAAATTTTTGCCCATAATATGTACCTAATATAATTTCTTTTAAAACAATACTATTGGCAAAGCTTCCCAGGCCCCACTGTCAAATTGACCGTACTTATAGTTTATTTCTAATGCTATATTATTGATCTTGATATGAATTTAATATAGGTTTTCAACATAATCTGTAGTGAGAAACCAGTTATAGGGAGTTTGGGTTGAATTTTATCAAACCTAGTAGGTAAAATTTGAAATACATGATCCAGGAACGTCCTAATAAATGAGGAGGCAACATTTCAACAACTCCAATTAGTACTTCTTTAGATTTTATATTTCTGTGTATTGAGCTTCTACTTTGGTTACCTCAATTGCTCATTTCCGTTTCGGCTAAAAAAAAGTGTTAAACTTTCCGCCTAAGATAATGCCCCTAATGGCACCGCCAAGACAGAGAAAGTATTCTGGCACCTTCGCTAAAACATATTTTGCGAAAGTTGGTCCAAAGTTAACTTGCACTAAAAACTAAACATACCTAACGTGATTGCGTGAACTTACTAATGCACTAACAAACCTAATTTCATAATTACATTTTGCCAGCAAATTAAATTCTCTTGGTATGTTATGCTTCCAGAGGTTTGCACCAAGTTACCGCCCGGGGTACGAAAGTTCTGGTAAACTACCCTCCTTTCCCGGCACGTGAAACATCCCTGTATATTTCGAAAAATTCCTAATTTAGTAAAATACTACCCGATCCTTTACAACATACATGTTAACCTGAGATTAAAAATGAATCCATAAGGGGAGTGCATGCGAGAGCGCATCGGAGGTTATGCCCCACCTTTATTATCAGCTGGCCGCGGATTTATAGGATCTACAAAAAAAGGTAAATACTAATACTGTTGAAAATTTTCTTCTCTTTATTTTCATATACGAGTATTTTTTACGCAAAAACGATAGTTATTGAGTTATTTTGCGATAAAACACGAAATGGTCCCATTTTTTTGGTCAAGCTGAAAAAAATATACTTCTGGACCGAATTTTAGGAATAAATTTATATGGTGTTGATCATGACGATAAAACGAAGCGATTGACAAAAAAATCTTCCCTAGGAATTTTGTCAGCAAAAATATCTCTGACGCTCGGACTAATAAACATTTCTGTATTTTCATGACATTTTCTATGGCATTTAACTACATTTTTGCATTTCCACTCGCATTTCCATGACATTTCTCAACATTTCTACCGTTTCATAATGCTAGCATTTCCATATTTCCGCAGCATTTTCGTACTAATTTCCTTTAGTGTGTAGTGAGCATAATGCTTTAAATAAAATTGTGAAATTTATTTACTATACCGTAAAACGTTCGTTCCTGTATAAGATAATAAAAATTACCTTTTTAGGTAATAGTTGCGTATATCTTGGGCATTATTGAATTAATTTTATATACTATTACAATTAGTATTTGGAAATAGTACTTATACAGGTACATTTTTATGATGCACCATGAAGTGATGAATTATGTGAAAGTAAAATACTTGCGTGAAGTTTGACGTGCCATAAGAATCGATGTGGTAGAAATCAATGTACCTACACTGTCGCTCATTAAAAGTATGTTAGTGACGACCATTTATCAAAATCATTTTACAACACGTACCGATCGTGAAGCTATTTTAATCGTAATACTTTGTATATTATTCATATTACGTAGTCCGTTGGCAATAATAAATAAGTAGAAACCGACGAAAGAATAAGTAAAAGGTATAAAGACGTTTCAAAACAATAGGAAGTAAGAATTATTACCCAATCCACTCATACATCCAAAATGCATAAATCCCGTAGTTAAACATTTTTAACGCGCTGCAGATCTCGGTACTTTGAGATTATATAATTTAATTTCCTAGCATAGTTTATTGTTTTATAATTGAGTCGCGTGTTATAAACAAGGCTGTGTGATGAAATAATTAATGAAAGTCATTCACACGGAAATTTGTAAGTAGAATTATGTTGCATTTGCAGTTAAGACAGAGATTGACACGTGCCAAATGTAACATTATGTACATACTTACCTACCTACTTATAAAAGCAATATTAGGAAAGTTTATGAACACAGTATTCCTAAATTGTCAAATTGGCGTACCTTTAAACATTGGGCAAAATTTTAAAATATGATCTTCTCTAATTTTATCTGCACCTTACTGTTGAAATTTTCGACCAAATGTTTAGTTGGTGTTTCCCCAAAAAGACCCTATTTGCGCTTAAGTACTAAAAACACCAAGAGCATATTTTGCCGAATTGCGTTTATGTGCGATTAATACACTCCATTAATATTCGACCAATCGTCGACAATCGCTGAGCTGCAGCGATTGTTTCAAATTCTAACCAATCAGACGATTTTTTAAGTGATTAAAAGCTAGGTAGATTTTATCAGCGATAAAAATGCTTGTAGGCATGCTTAAAATATCGTGGTTGTGAAATTTACTGTCTTGTATTCTACCTAAAATACACACGATCTTGGTTTTAAATCAGAATAATTTTATTTTTAATTCATTCAAATTTTGTTTCCTCCTGGAAAAGCTCTTCATCAAAAGCGTAAGATAAAATCGCTCCAGTTATCACGCTTTTAATGTGTAGTTTTTTCCGTTGCAATAAAACTTTCGTGTAAAAATAAAATTATCCAATTAAAAATCAAGCCCCAAAAAATAGTAATAATTATGTATTATGATACGATACGATACAGAAAATATCCCAGAATAATCCGTATCCGTCATGATTAACCATTGCTTTTTTGTCAGACAAGAACTAGTTGGTAGGTACAACCATTGAACAGTACGTGTTCATGTCTGTGCATCCCATCCCGGCGACGTACACCCCGGCAGCACGGATTTTTCCCGAGTCCTCGTGCTCTACCGAGTCTATACGTTTTACCGAGTCCTATAGAACGCATGCGTTCGTTGCTACAGCTGATTTTACTATTTACGTTGCTCGTTTATGACAACCAAGTTGGTTCAGGCTCAGTTTAATGAAAGACAATAGATATTAATATTACGAGCAATAATTTGAAATTTGTAAGGGCATTATGAAATGATGCGTTGTGTACATTTCAGGTACGTCGGTGTAATTAACCCCACTTGTCATAGCAGAGTGCTGGAGCTCGGATTTTAAAATGAAATGACATTCGGCTGGTCGATTACGGCTTTTTTTCATAGATTCCATTGTCCCACAATGACGTCGCTTGATATGGCAGGAAATTATTTACTCGCCAATAATTCACTTTTTTTTTGTTTTTGGTCCGTACCAGTAATTACAAATTCCAAGAAAGAGGTTTCATCGTCAATCGGCGCATTTTGTTCTTGTGAAAGGTTTTTTGGAACCATTTTCGCACAGACTTCTTCCATTCCCAATGCATTACAGTTGTATGAATGGGTTATCTGATTCAAATTCCCTGGACCTTCAATCAATCTGACTGGAACAAAAAGTAACTTTACTAGAAAAATGATTACGGACGCGTGCGTATGACATGTCCACCTACCGCTCCAGGGTTGCTATAGCAACCGCTTTGGGGGTCTATTGTACTATATAGTCTAAGGGGTCTATTCTGTATATTGTCGTTAACAAACGATATCGTAATGGTAACGATTTGATCTTGAACGACAGTTAAATTCCGTATCACTGTCATATGTTATATGTTATACAGAATTAACAGAATAGAGAAAGTCGTTACCGAACGATATTCGCTATGTAACAACAACGTTATGCGTTAGGTAATAGGCCCCTACTCCCTAGTCTCGTTACTTAATTTACGTACTTCGTACAGCCGCGTGCGATACTTATTTGGCCACCCGGGACATTCGCTAAGGCGGTAACCAATAAAAAGTAAGTATACTTTTCGTAGTATACCGCAGTGGAATAAGCCGAAATAGTTATTTGTACAACTAGGTTTGAAAGTTCTAACAACCGCGAAAACCTCAAAACAAGTAGAATAAAGTACATTCATAAATAGACTTCATAAATTGTACACGTGCGACAGATATGAATGACTGAAATGTAATACAGCATAATGCGAACTAAAACACGTCAAATTAATTGATGTTGAAAAACTAATAGTCAACATAATGCATAAATACTGTACTAATTAAACGAACGCATGCTTCCATATTCATACATGCTCGAACACGAGAGCAATTGAGACTATAGATATGCACTCATCATATTACTGTATAATTTACTTCCCTGTCGTATAAAACGCCCACCGTAGTAGAACTAGAAAGTATTATTCAAATCACATCACAAATGAAAACTGTCGTGTGTTATTTATTCGCTCAATATTGTGTTGGACAGTTCGACAGACGGACGGACGAACAGAAAGTCCAAAATCATAAATTGGCTTTTTGTGCTCGTTAATTATTGCTCAATTTTTTGTTGGGCGTTTCTGTCTTATTTTTCAAGAAATAAAATATGGTTTATACTTTATACTTGGAACAATTTCTCAGTCTGCGCAGGTGTATTTCAAGACTTATTTCTTGACAGAATGTTGCCAGTTGACAGGGATTTTGAAAGAACATAATAACAATAATATGAAGTAGTTAATTAATTAATTAGAATTAGTGAAACCACAGCAATGAGTTTTGAAAATAAACGCTATTGTTTTAACATGCATTGTATGAAGAACTCGATGAACAATAATTAATGACATCACGACAATTCCTTTTGAAAACATTTTGTGATTCTGAAAAGAACCGATTGTGATGTTTGTTATGATTGTTTGAACTCATTAATTATTATTGTTTTCAATTGTTACAAAACGGCCACCATAATTAGTTAACGCTTAATTACCACAAAAAAAATTGGTCTTTATGAAGAAACTGTGAAGCAAGCTGGATCTGGATGGTAACTATTCTACCCCTGAAATTGCTGTTACCCAGTTGCCTTTATTCGTGTATGACATTTTACAATAGCAAAAAAAATTGCAATAACTCTTCCTCCTATGACGCAAAATTTCATCCCAGTCGCTCAAAAGGGTAAAATGATTCCTGAACAATTATAGTGGCCAAGGGAAAACCCGGGAAAAAATTTGCATCAGTTCGTATCGAAATGTCGGCATACTGTTCAGAAAAATGCAAAGAAAAATGTTGAGCAATTTTTGAAAATTTAATAATGGTGCAAAAATGCTTATATTATTGCATACAAATTATAAACATTTTTTGTTGTGTCAACAACCTCATGTACCTAAACGTTATTTCGGTCACCACCAACACCAAGAAATAATGACAGGACACCCTGTATATTTGACTCTGACAATATTTGATTTAGTGTAAATCTGGAAGATTATCTACGAATAAGCACAGAGTTGGTTTATTGTAGTTGAATTTGTTATCTCAGTGTCTATTTTTCCTTTTAGAATTGTTTGTAATTGTGCATTATTTTTCTGTTTAAATTTTATCGTTTTTGTAAATTGTTTATTTAGATTTGTGTATTTCATTGTAAAACGTGAAATTACGTCTGAAAAGGGACATCTGGTCGTTTGCGATAAGGAGATTTTTCCGACGAAATTTATCTAACGCACGTTTTTATCGCTATTAAGAGATAACGAAGAGATGCAGGTGTGATGTGCTCGGTATTTCGACGTAAGTGGGGACGTTTGGCACGTTCCGTCGAAGCTGGCGTTATCAAGTGCAATTGTGATTGCCGGTATTTTTGAAAATCCAGAAGAAGAATTATTTTGTAATGGATGTTCCTTTAAATACTTACTGGAGGCGGAGTAAAAAACGCCGCTACTGCGGTTGCTAGTTTTTGCGATGGTAAAAGAGCGTATACATTTTTTGTTTATGCTCATTTATTGGACCCTAGTTGTTTTGTCGAAGACACAGTTCGTCGGTTTCGAAATAAAGCGTGTAGAAGTTAAGCAATCTTAAAAAAAGATTTAAGTCATCCTCAAGTGAAGTATAACTCTCGCCAGGAAAGATTGCCGGTCACAGCACACCTTGTGTCCAGAGTTGGACTGGGTCAAGCATAGAGTGACCCAGTGACCAGGTGACCCAGTTAGTTTACTGACCCGGTGACCCAGTGACCCCGGTGACCCAGCTTGACCCGGTGACCCAGTTTGACCCTGTAGCCCAGCTTGACCCAGTGACCCATCTTGACCCAGCTTTACTCAGTGACCCGTCTTGACCCAGTAATTAAATTATTGTTAGGTATCATCCAAAACAATTTCAAGTAACTTTTAATTTAAAAAAAAACTTCCTCAATAATATTCGCCATCAAGCACTTAGCCCAATTTCATTCAAGAGAACTAATACCTAAAAAAATCAAATGCATTTGTTTATAGTTTGTAGTCAAGTAGTCAATGAAAGTATTTAGAGAAAAGATTTATTTGGATTAAGCTAACTAGTAGAAAAAAATTAAATGTGAATGAACACCTGTAAGCAAACTGGTAAGCCCTGAAGCAAAGAAACGAAGGAGGGAACTGTTTAGAAATAACATTATTCTAATACAATTCGGGACATGGAAAGTTTTTTACGGCAGTATTAAAGCAAACATCACAGAAATGGCAGTTGTCAAGCAATCGAGTATTATTTTCAACAAACCAGCATTTCATTTATTTCATAATCTGTACACTTGAACCGAGGGCACTGACTTAACTGCGTTATTCGATCAAACTAGGTTACTGGGTCGAATTGGGTCTCCGTGTGAAATTAGGTCGCTGGGTCAAACTGGGTCACTGGGTCTAACTGAAAAGAGTATGACGTGACCCAGTGACCCAGTTTAATTTAGTGACCCAGGTGACCTAGTTGACCCAGTGACCCAGTCCAACTCTGCTTGTGTCGATTTATAATCTTTATTTTTCTTTAAGATGCGAGCGATTTCCGGAATACGTTCGTGCCAATGTTGACTGAAAAGTCTTTTTGTTTAACATTGACATGATACTTTCCCGGAAGTCGCTCACATCTTTAGAAAAACATAGATTGTACACCGGGATCAAGTGTTCTGTGATCGGCAATCTTTTCTGGCGAGAGATTTAGTAAAAATTTGTGGAAAGTTTTAAAAACTGTTTGTCCGTATTCAGAAAAAGTTAATTGGAGTGTGAGTAAACAAAGCAGATGTCTGCTTAGTGCAAGTTGAAAAGTTTCTACCGTCCGAGCAGGCACCAAAAATGTTTCATCTTATTTATATCTTATAGTCCGTTAGAGTCATTGAGTTCCGTTTAATAAAGAAAACGTGAAGTGTAAATATTGACGCTTCACAGCAACACTGACTGCAGGTACGAACTAAAAGGAAAACGAGGTGCCGGAAAAGTCGAGACGCCCACTATTGGGGTGATTGCTTAGAGCTACGGGGAGGGCTACTTCGAAAACCCCCTTACAGAAGTATTGAATTGATCATGTTGTAGACAACCTAAGTGACCAGTTTCCGGCATTTTATAGAAATATTAGAAAATAGTGTTTCGATTATGTACTTCAATGGGTTGCTGAAAATTTTATTTGCGCCACTGAACATCTCTACAATTTTTCTCTCTTGACATTTTTTCTTAAAATCCTTAGTTTTAGAGTTATTAAGAAAAATTTCAAAAAAGGTAGATTTTATCCCACTTAGGGGTGGTTTTGGGGTGACGGACTCAACGCCTCGGCGCTGGGGTTTCAGAGGGTGTTTAGACCCTTAAAGCAAAGTACCTCGCCAAATTTCAACGTGCGCTAATGGGCTTAATATATTGGATGCATTTAAGAAAGAATAAAAGTAAAACTTGTTCCCACGAGTTCCCATATTATAAATATAAAAATTCGAGTTATTTTGTAGAAGGTCACGTCATTTATTATAATACTAATCAAACATCAAACGTAAACAAAATTAGAAATATTCACTTTAAAAAAATCAAACGTATATTGAATCATTGATTTGTAGAAGACAGAAATTACACAAGCATATAATGGTAGTTCCTATACTATTCATTATTCCGTAATAACAGTTGTGTACATAACGAAGCGTAACATATACACATTAGCAGCTAATAAACTACATACTAATGCCTTGAAGAAGGTCGCGTGTACTACTTCAGTAGTGTTGACCTCATTTATTTCTTAGTGTTATTGTATGCTGGACCATGACAAGCCAGACAATCATTAGGTTCGTTTTGGGAACTTGATCGGATCACTTTCTATTCTTAATACATGTGATTTACATAGAGTTACAAATCCATTGCAATTACCCGACAAAAAAATGAAAGAAAAACAAAACAAAAATTGAACATGTGCGCCATGGGAAAATGGGTATCAAATCAATCGTCGTCATGGAATATGGATGTGTTCCATAGTGCACGTTTCCGCTTTAGGTAGCCTTACATAATACTTACTTGATTGAATTAAGTAACAGTTATGTGTACCTGCTGTTTTATTTGTAAATTAGGTAATTTGCATAATTGCGGAATTTATAAATCTGATCAAAACATCTGCTTGTGTTTAACGAATATAA